ATCGTTTGGGTCGTGTCTAAGGTTGATCCACACTGGGAGAAATTGGTTATTTTGAGTTTATTGGTACTAGATTCTAGTGTTCATTAAAAGAAACTGATTTAGGTTTAAAGTTTATAAGTTAGTAAGGCTGATGTATGAACAAAATTTCAGTATATAGCTGAGGTAACGTCAGCTGGAGTAGAACACCTAGTATTAGAATCGCAATGTTATGAGAAGCTAGGGATGGATGAAATTCACATAGAAATCTTGGAAAGATGGGATCAAATGCTTTGTGAAATATTTTGATCTTCCTTTCGTTTGTTGAACTGCTCAAGTGGAGAACTTAAAGATTGCACTTTCTTTCTCGCTCATGTATGGAAGTAATTACTATAAATTATCACCTCATATTTTCATAAATAATTTGTCATGAGTTCCATCCATGCCTACCTTTTCCTGTCAACACAAGTTTGAAGCTCTGGGCATCTACACTTGTTGAGCTGCCTTATTAGCTATGTCGATATGCTAACATTCGTTCTTGTTTCATGCTAATTATTAACCCCTTTTATATACCATGCATAACTTTTTTTTCCTTATTTTAAATTTCTATAACACATCAACCTTAAAATTTTTGTTTATGTTAAAAGTGCTTGTTAAGTTGAACCTTTTGTTTTCCCACTTGCAGAACAATGCATCATTGCTGCCCTTGTTTGAAATCTATATAATTCTTTAAACGACAATAATTATCATCCTGTGATTTTATATACTTTTCTTTACATTGCCAAACAATATCATCTGGAGGCGCTATATCAATTCATTCGTTGGGCTCTCTTCCTGTTATATCTACCATGCTCTCTATTTTTTACAGCTGCATAATAGAAGCTTAGAAGCTTAAACATAACAGAAACTGTTGCATGAATTTGAGATATGACACATTTTATTTCTTCCTGCAGCCTCTTACCCTACGGCCAGTAATTATTCTAAAAGTAACATAGATCATGGTGAACGTTTAGCTGTCAGTATGTCCATGATAATGTGTAAAAGGTTGTGTACTACACCATATATGAAACAAGTTTACAAGGATTTCTCTTAGTATCGATCCTTGTTTAATCTCACCTGATTGGAAATTCTCTCACCGTGTAATATATGTGCTCTTGGTGCCATTGATCCTCCATCTATCTCAATTTGGGATTCGAGCTTGGTCTTGTTTTGCTGTGAACTTTCTCTATGTTGCCTTCTTTGGTGGTGATCCGGGGTTTCATTTTAACGGTGCTTCACCACGATATCATTCCAATTAACTAGTTTAATGTTATACAGCTTGGAGATCCTGTGCTAGTTATCGAACTATTGCTTTATGCAAACTCTTATCTATCTGTCCTTGTAATAGTTCTATTTTCCATATTTGCAGTTTGGAGCTTTTTAATGGGCAAGAGTTTGATAAATGGGTTTCCAAAGCAACAGCTCCTGCTATAGAATCCAGTTTAAAGTTTTATGAGGAAGTTCTTGGGTTGGGATTTAAGGTATTCTTGTTGACTGGTCGAGCTGAAGCACAGAGGAGTACTACTACTGACAATCTGCATGCCGTAGGTTTCCGCAACTGGGAGAAACTTATACTGAGGTAAATTTCCACACTTCATTGCAATTGCAATCTAGATCTCCTTTTGATTTTGGTGGACTTGAGTAGCAATTTTTTATCTACACTTCAGATACTGCAACCTTACTAATTTTTAATAAGAATCCTGGTTACACCAAGCTTATGTCAATCTCCTCATATTTTACCACTGTTGAGATCCTGACACTGTCCTTCATCTAGCTAGCAGTGGCAATTTTGATTACTTTCCTTTTTTTTTTGTTATAAGCATTTGGATCTTCAAAATTATAAGAAAATTTCTGTAAAGCTTGTCAGCAGTAAGCTTTTATGGTTCATTTTCCTCTTTCAGCTCCTTTTCAATTACTTCTTATCTGTGGATTTTTACAAGAGTATGTCGTCTAGTTGTGATCTCTGAATATGTGGTGGTTACATTTTAGTATTGGGGCTCCAAACACGAACGTTTTTCTCACAGTTGTATATTGAGGCCTTGTTTCTGGTACGTTTTGATAATTACATTAACCTTGACCACAACTACCCCTCATAGGAGAGTAAGATTCATTTACTGTCAGCTTAAGTAAAACAAGGACATCTCTCATCAGAAGCAAGTGTGGTATGGATACTATCTATGCTCAATGTTCCACTGATAGTCAGTGTAAGGATATGTGACATTACTTAATTCCCTCCATTCAATGATTGAGTATCTATAGATAATATCTTGCTCCTTCTTATTGCTTGACCCGTTAATCTATCGAAATTCTTTGATGTGGTCTATAGAATTTGGATTTAAATGTTGCTGCAGCATGTGCTTTTTTTTTTTTTTTTTTTTTTGAGAGAACATGACTTATTGTCACACTAGAATATAAAGAAAATTACCATTCCCATCCCATGTAAATCATTTTGAATTTCCATTCATAAGAAAGAGTATGGTATCTGCAGGAGCTTAGTTTTTTTTTAATAATTATTATTATCTAGAATTGTGGGCATCCAATATTTCACTGGAGAATGATAGGGTTTGGAATGTTGTACTGAAGCTTTCATGTGATGAGCGACTTCACAGGTCCTAGTCAGGTTGCTATCGTTGTCAAAAGAAATGTGGGAATTTTCTACCGTATTTAGGGGGAGAGAGTAAGAGGGCTGCACTTCAATCGTTAAGCATTGGCTCAATATGATTTTGATAGGCTATATAAGTCAAACAAGCAGTAACTGGGAATTTGTTAAACAGAATTAACGGCATATTTCATCACCATTAGTTTTTTCCTTGGTACTACACAACGGAGTTGAAGCCAGGACTTGCTGATCCTCTTTTAATCTCCCCTAACTGCTCTGTCAATGTCCTTTTGGCTTGCTCCTGGAAGATACGTGATCTTTTTCTATAGGAGAGATGAGTATTGGAGTTTCCATTGAATAAGATGGATCACTCCCATATTCTCCAGTCTTCATATATGGACTAAAGCTTCTGTAACAAGCTCCCACCAACCTTGAACTCGTGACTCCCTCCACAAGCAAGTCTTCTGCCAATACTCGAGTTATCATTCTTTTTTCCTTTTTTTTTCTTTTAGTTTTTTATTGTTATCATATGTAGAAGTGATTCATCCATTCATCCTATTTACTTGAACTATATATTCTTACCTTCATACGTAGATCGAGATATTCTATTGGACATAGAGTGCCAATCATTAAATGTAAAAAAAAAGAGTATCAGCTGTGACACATTCACTAAAAAAGAAATCCTTTTGTAGCTAATCATTTATCGAGAAAAATTGAAAAACTCTACATGAGGGAGGAGAAAGAAATAATAGTAACTTGGTCTCGGGTATATATGGGGATACTTTGTAGTAGTTCAGGACGATAGCCGATGAATATCAACTATTTTTTAGGTACAATTTTTTTGAGATTTAAATGGTCCTGTTGGGATTTCTAGTTTTGTTGAATGTAATGTCTATCTTTAAAGCTTAAGATCCGCTTCTAGAAGTGCGTTGCATATAAAGTTTTTCGTGCATAACTAATGTAATTAGTGGCCGAGGGTTTTCTAATGATGGGGCTGATCGCATCTGATCTCTACCATGTACAGGGGGCTGGATGATCATGAAAAGACAGCAACAGCATACAAGTCAGAGAAAAGGTCTGAAATTGTTGGAGATGGATACAGAATTGTAGGGAACTGGGGAGACCAGTGGAGTGATTTGTTGGGTTATCCTATGAGCAATCGATCATTTAAGCTGCCAAATCCCATGTATTTTATTGCCTGACATTCTTAAACATGATACCTTCAATAAAAATAGGGTTATTTGTGGATTATGATAGGTTGTGATCTCAATTTATATCCACAACGTGTTCAGTCCAATTGTCATCAGATCTTCCAGAAAAGCAGGAAAGCTTTCAAGTTGTCCTCAATTAAAATGCAAAGCTACAAGGGTTTTTTCGATCAAATTGTTGGGGACCACGCATTTGTATTAATTATTATTGGCAAATCGTAGATTATCTCGTTTAGTAGTAAAGATGTGGTATATATTGGGGCGCAGCTGCTACTTTTGTCATACGAAAATATATAGAATACGGAGCAAAGGAAATTAAAGCGGAAACTACAGATTTTAAGACCTTTCTATGTTTCTAAAGGCGCTGAGGCTCCCGCACAAAACACGCACAGACGCGAGCTGATGGAAAATTAAGGAGAAACCTTTTCAAGTATCATGGTAGCTGAAGCTTTTGTGCAAAATGTCTGCGGGTATTGAATACAGCCATGGCACGATTGCGTTATGGATGACCCAGTTCTCCAGCCAAACAGCGATTAACCACTAAAACTAGGAGGAGGTTTTATGAATTTTTATCCATCCTCATCCAATTCATTCGGAAACAATGATAGGGGCACACCCTCTACCACACTCCCAACCACACCACCTCTCTTACTACAGTACACGGGCCCACGTGAGATTTTAAATTAAAATCTTATGTGGGTCCCGTGTACTGTAGCAAGAGTGGTGGTGTGGTTGGGAGTGTGGTAGAGGGTGTGCCCCTAGTGCCTCTCTTCATTCGGTGCCAGCCATCATTATTAGCAAAGGAGAGGAAAGATGGAAAGGGATGTGAAGACCAGGTCTGCAAAAGCTCTGGACTGTTGGAGATGGTAGGTAAACAGGCATAGGAATGAAGTGGATGTAGGCAACTTTCTCTTTTTCCGTTTCAGCTTCCTTACTGCATCAACTTCCCAGTTGCAGCATCCTCAAATATAGAATGACCTCTAATGGGCATATATCTTCCCTATATATCATATCATATCATATCGTACTTCATCATATCATCATACTTTTTTTAAAAGCACGAGTTCAGGAAAATCTTTTCATGGTCAATATTACCTTTCACTATTTTGAATATTTCATTTAAATCTTAATCTATTCTAATTTTAATCATATTTTATCTAATTCCACGTGAACTATCTATAGTTCAACAATTTAAAAAAAGTTATTTCACTTAAATATTAATCTATCCAAATACTAATTATATCCTATATTAACTCCATATGAACTGGTTATAGCTCAACAATTTAGAAAAAAATAAGATTAAGAAATTATACGTAGATAACATGTTATAATACATGCAGTATTACAAAAAATCCAAAAGTTTCAAAAATTGCATATAATAGCCTTAAAAGTTTAAAGTTACACAAAACACCTTGATTTTTTAAAACTTAAAAACAAACATGAAATCTAAAAATTTAAAACTTGTAATTAACACCATTAACATTTTAAAAACTACAGAAACAACCTCAAAGGTTTAAAGGCTAAATTATATTTATATACCCTATTGTTTCGCTCTTGTAGTAGTTATATACTTCAAGTTATAAAAACATAGCAAAAAATTACCATGAGTTGGTAAAATTTTGCAAGTTGGTACCTTTTGTTAACCAACCGTGAGAATATTCTTTGAAATATTCTCACGTGCTGGACATATGACCAACTTGAATGCTTCTTACCCTCATTTATTGCATTATTTACTATATTACCTACCTCTCCCCAACAAATATATATATATATATATATATACTATATATATATAATATATATATATATTATAATATATATATAATATAGATATATATTAGAGAGAGAGGAGAAGAAGAGAGGAATATGGTATGCCTTGGTACAAGCACAAATTTTGTGCTTGGTAGTGAGGTGGCCCACATCCCATCCACTCATTCAATGGGGATCACATTCACTATGACGTTAAAAAATTGCATGCGGATATGCAACCATTTGAATGGGTGGAGGCGGGATTATGTCACCTCACTACCAAGCACAACTTTATGTGCTTGTACCAAGCATACCATTTCTCTCTCTCTCTCTCTCTCTCTCTCTCTCTCTCTCACACACACACCACCACACACACACACACACACCACATACTATATTATATATTATATATATATATAATATATATAGAGAGAGCAGAGAGAGAGCAAAATTGTGTCAACTTAAATCGATAGCAAAAGACCCATTTTTCTCATATATATATATATTATATATATAATATATATATATATATATATATATATATATATATATATATAATATATAGAGAAGAGAGAGAGAGAGGAGAGAGAGAGAAGCAAAACTTGTGTCAACTTAAATGGATAGCAAAAAGTTATCACTCAAATTTTTGCCACTCATATTACCTAGGGATCCTTGCATGATATGAAAAAGTCTTTTTATATTAATAAATAAGTGGCTAGGAAGTTTGGTGGACATCAACTTAAGTTGAAGGTAGCTAGTCTTACTCTTCTCTCTTGATATATATATATATATATATATATTCATCATCATCTTCTTCTTTCATGGTCTCCAACTTCTTCTTCCTCTTTATTATGGGTAACAATAGAAAATAAGAGTTTTCACTATGTTTGTTGGGGTGGGGGTGTGGGGGGGGTTAATTCCTAAGGAGGGACATTATTATCCTTTCATGTATTTTTTAACACCGTTAGCCAAGGTTTTAAATGTCGGTTATCGGGGATTTATCGGACGGTCAAAATCCCTATCGGATAGCGGAAATCGAAGATATATCGGGGATAAATAGTATTTATCGGAGTAATATACTAGCAAATAATAAACAAATATAAGCTTGAAAAAATATAATGTTAGTCAAAATGGAATAATAAACAAGCAAATAATAAGATAACATTAAGAATGAAGAACCATCTACGCATCTACATAATTATTGTTTAATCATGAGATTCATAAACTAACATTTAGTAGTTATGAGCCATTATCAATATCCATAAACAAACATTAGCTAATTACCAATCAACCAAGTTCCAAAAGCAACAAATAGCTCATAATTTGTACACATTCAAAGAGCAAATTCAAAAGAAAGTAAAAGCTCCCAAATCTTACTTATCGCCCGATAAAGCCGATATTTAGAGCCTGCTTATCGGCCAATAAGTGCCTTTATCACCGATAACTCGCCGATAAACTTCAAAAAAATAATAACCGATAAAAATCCTACTTATCCTAGCGGAAAACTCCCAAATCCGATAACTCAGCGATAATATCGGATTATCGGTCGATATTTAAAACCATGTCGTTAGCTAAATTTAAATAGTTACCAACTCAGGGTATTTTTTGTTATGTTTTGTAACATAGGATATATAACTACTACAAGAGCGAAACAATAGGGTATGTAAGTGTCATTTAGTCAAGTTTAAATGATACGAGTGTATCTTCTCTTCAGAAAAGCGATCTTCATGGGAGCTTGAGGATAGGTGATTCTCATGATATCTTGAGAATAGTGGTGTGAAGCGACACGACGGAGCACAGGTGGAAGCGTGGAACGAGACGAAGAGCAGCAGATTCGAAGAATCCAGATTTCAGCTCGTGAGTCGACTCATACATGTACATGAGTCGACTCATCAGGTTGAGTTGACTCATGCCTGTCATGAGTCGACTCACGAAACCCAGCCGTTTTGTCAAAAGTTTCTGCTCGGTCGACTCATCAATTTATGAGTCGACTCATCAGTCATGAATCGACTCATATGCAGTCATGAGTCGACTCATCGAGGTTTCCTTGGCAAACTTGGTTTCTGTTTTGAATGAATCCTAGTTGGGTTTGGTTTTGGTTATTTACCAGATTGCCTCCACGTTGTAAACCCTATAAATAAGAACTGTTTAGGGTTCTAAACGAAATGTTAGAGGCCAAGATGTAGATCTAAAGGGTTTTAGGTCTAAGTGAGATCCTAATCAAAAGGATTAGGGTTTAGATTTGTGAGGATCTATGAGATCTTAAATCAGAGGTAATTAAGAGAGATTCTAATCATTGTATTAGGGTTTATAGAGGATTGAGAGGTTGTTCTCGATTCTAGTGAGATTGTGAGGGAGAGATTTATAATAATTGATTCTTCATAATCTAGAGAAGGTATTTTCCTTCGTCATACTAAATTGTTCTTGTGTTTTGGTTGTCTTCTTCTCAACCCACCTTTTGGTAATTCTGCGACCAAAGGATGTTCGCACGGCGACTCGTATCATTAAATTACAAAAAAACATTCTAAAATTCAGAGAATTCAAAACTTAGAATAACATAGATGAATTCCATGGATTACCATTAAGCACCTAGAAATTTAAAATTAGTAAAAAAATAACCTCAAAGTTACAAAAATTACAAAAACTCAATCAAAAGTAAAAATTATTAAAAAAATCCTAAAATTTTAAAACTTAAAACCGGTACACATCAAATTTAGAAATTATCAACATATCGCTAAAAAATTAAAATTTTTAAAAAACAACGCAAAATTTTAGTAATTATAAAAATACCTTTAAAAATTCAGAGTTACAAGAAATATTCTATCATTTAAAAACTTACCACCAATACATGAAACATGAAAATTATAATCACCTAACTTAAAATTTAAAATTTTTATAAAATACTATCAAAGTTTAAAAATTACAAAACACACCCTCAAAAGTTCAAAATCACAAAAATGCTGAAATTTGCTAAAGAAAAGAAGAAATGTTTGATATTATTACATTAAGATATAATAGGTTAACATTAATTGATTATAATGTATAAATATTTATATCTAATGTTGATAATATTTATTTATAAAGTAAAAAAATACAATGAGTTATGTATGGAGAAACTATCAGAAAGTTCAGAGATATCTTTTAAAAGAACTAAGTTGTTTTCATTTCAAATGGAGAAGTGAAGGAAATAAACTCAAAATTCAGAAATATTCATGAATCACCTAAATTAACATTGATAAAAGACATATCTAGCAAAGAAGCACTAATCAAGTTCTCCTTGAAGAACGTATTGAA